CTCTGTAACACACCGTGCAAGAGGAGTGGAATGGATTTCAGAAGGGAGTTAACTGCAGAATGCAGTACACAGAGGAAGATGGAGAGACTTGTAGGCTTCTGTGTAATGCATCATGCACACAAAACCGATTGTGGTGCCTTCAACGGCCAGCTAGGTAAGACATGAAGATCAGTAGTTTATGGAATAATGTCAGAAGTTCTCTGTAGATACATTCAAGATGCCTTTCTTGAAGAAGTGGTGGAGATGTTACTAACAGCTGCATAGGTGGATCTAGCATTTAGGTAGAGGCTGGCGAAAAGGCGGAGGTTGAAGGTAGAAATGCTGGATAGTTGGCATGCAATTGGTATCCAAAGCCAACAGACCGGGTGACGATGGTATGTATGGAGAGAGAGTGTTTTGATCCACTTGAGCCCAAAGTTAGCCCAACATTTATTTATTTATTTTAAATCATTTTATTGGGGGACTCATACAACTCTATCACAATCCATACACACATCAGTTGTGTAAAGCGCATTTGTATATTCGTTGCCCTCATCATTCTCAAACATCTGCTCTCCACTTAACTCCTTGGCATCAGCTCTTCATTCCCCCCCCTTCTTCCCCGTTCCCTCATAAACCCTCGATAATTTATAAATTATTATTTTGTCATATCTTACACTGTCCAACGCCTTCCTTCACCCACTGTTGTCCGTCCCTCAGGGAGAAGTTTATATGTAGATCCTTGAAATAGATTTCCCTTTTCCACCCTCCCTCCACCTTCCTGGCATCGCCACTGTCAGCACTGGTTCTGAAGGGGTCATTTGCTTTGGATTCTTGTGTTTCCAGTTCCTATATGTACCAGTGCACATCTTCTGGTCTTGCCAGATGTGTAAGGTAGAATTGGGGTCATGATAGTGGGGAGGAGGGAAGCATTTAGGAACTAGAGGAAAGTTGTATGTTTCATCATTGCTACACTGCACCCTGACTGGTGCGACCCTTCTGTAAGGGGATGTCCAGTTGCCTACAGATGGGCTTTGGGTCTTCACTCCACACTCCATCTCATTCACAATGATAGGATTTTTTGCTTGATACCTGGTCCCTTCGACACCTTGTGATCACACAGGCTGGTGTGCTTCTTCCATGTGGGCTTTGTTGCTTCTGTGCTAGATGGCTGTTTATTTACCTTCCAGCCTTTAAGACCCCAGATGCTATATCTTTTGATAGCCAGGCACCATCAGCTTTCTTCACCACATTTGCTTATGCACCCATTTGTCTTAAGTGATTGTACCAGGGAGGTGAGCACACAATATGTTTTTCTTTTTCTTTGATACCTGATAACGGATCCCTTCAGCACCTCGTGATCACACAGGCTGGTGTGCTTCTTCCATGTGGGCTTTGTTGCTTCTGAACTAGATGGAGTCCAACATTTAAAGGTTCCAACAACTCACTGCCATTGGGTCTTGAGTCCAGTTTGAAGTGATGTAATAGAACAGAGTGGAACTGCTCCATAGGGTTTCTGCGGATGGACATCTTTGTGGAAGCCGAGTACCGTATCATTCTCCTTTGGAGCTGCTGAGGTCAAACCACCGGCCTTTGGGTCAGTGGCCAAATACAACCTGCTGTACCACCAGGGCTCCTTGTAAAGGACAATAGAGCGCACAGGAGCCTGAGAATGAGCAGGCAGGTGGAATGAGAGTGTAGAAGGTGTGGCATCATGGGAACTGAGAGAAGATGCTTTTAAGGAAGACATAGTTAACGAAGTCTAATATTGCCCAGAGATAGAGTAAGATGAAGAACCGCCCAATATTTGATACACTCTCGTCCTTGGAATAGCTTTATTCTAATGAGGGGGAAAATAAAGGAGAAACTTACATCTGCCTTTGGTCAGGCTGAACATCCATCTCCCCCTCAATACCAAATAGAGATACCTCACTAGGGAACTGAAGACCTGCTCTCTCCAGTGGGGCTCCTAATTTTCAGTCGCTTTGTCAGAATGGTAAACAAGTGATGTCATCAGCACAGAGCCGGGCTCCAGTCTCCCAGGGGCCTGAGGTGGCTTCTCCCCCTCTGTAGCCTCTGTTCTGAATTAAATAATGGCCTTTGACGTTGGTAGGTGCTTCTGTTGCTGTTTCAGATTACAGTTGTAAGCTTGCTCATTGTTGCATTTAGCAACAAATGCATTCACTTCACAGGGAGGCCTCCATGGGGCTGGTGGGAGAGAGTGTGGGGAGGAAGGATTCCTGTCCTTGTCCTTTCTGAGCTGTGTCATCTTTACAAAAGATTACAGCTTGAAACTGAGAGACCTTGTCAAATTCTTGGCCTAATGCGTGCACTTGGCAGTGTGTGGAGTTTGTCCAGTGGTGGCTGAGTTAGAAATCCAGCCTGGTAGCCCGAAGTGCAGGCAGCCCTCTTCTCCCTTGCCTGGATGTGCCTCTGCCATGAATCCTGTCCTTTTTTGAACCCTCTGTATTAAGTAGGACACATTTGGCTCCAAGATGCAGAAAACTTGGAATAGCAGTGGCTTATTAAGATAGAAGCTTTTTTTTTCTTTCTTTCCTTTCCCCCCCCTATCATATAATCAGCAGCCCAAGGATCCATACTCCTGTTCTGTTACTGTTTTGTTGTCTGCAGGTAGTTCCCACCTCTCCTTTATCTTGTTGCTTGTTCCTTCTTGATAGGTGCCTTTCAGCTTGTGGAGAAGCCCTGGTGGTACAGTGCTTGCCTGTTCCCAAAGGTCGATGGTTCAAACCTACCAGCTGCTTTGCAGGAGAAAAATGTGGCAGTCTGCTTTCATAAGGATTACAGCTCAGAAAACTCCTTGCCATAGTTCTGCCTTCCATATAAGATCCTTGTGAGTTGCATTTGACTCAGTGGCAATGGGGGCACACCTTCTGGTTGCTGGAGCTCCAGCTGGCCTGTCCACATTTCAGGAAGCATAAAGGAACATTGGTAGAACTGCTTGCGCCACTTCTGCTAACATCTCGTTGACTTGAATTATAAAATCATTTTTATTCTGAGCCCAGCTAAAAAGCAGAGTTTCTGTTATAACACCCCACCCCCACCAACCCATAGCTATCAAATCAGTTTGAATATGAGCTTTTATTATGTCTAAGTAAGGAATGTGTAAACTTGGAAAACTGGCCACCACCCTTACCCTAAAGTGACCAGATTTTAACATTGGTAAAGCAGGACACCATTGATAAAACTCATATCCTGGCGAAATAGCCACATGGCAGCTGAAAACCGTATACCCTAGCGTGTCGTGCATTCTTTCCAAAAATCGGGACTTTTTAAAAACGCTGCGGGATGCGGGAAAAATTGGAACTGCCCTGCCAAAAGCGGGACATCTGGTCACCTTACCCTGTAATGCCTCGTGCAGTGTTACTGAAAGAGAAAAATAACTGTTGGGTAGCTGAACTAAGCTGTATGTAGCTAGCTCTGGTTGGATCCGCCCATCTGGGAAAGCCGAACTGCTCTGATTGGTTGGCTCATGCAGCTGTGGTGAGGCCTAGTTACTGCCTTCTGGGTTCCAGGTGTGCACCTGCCAGGTGTTGGGGTCATGGTAGTGAGGAGGTCACCCTGGCTGCAGCTCTCACAGGGATTATGGGTTTGAGGAGGTGGGGAGACAGTGTGAGGAGCACAACTCGGGAAGGGTGGGGACCACTACATGGTTTGGAGAGGGAGGGATCTCTTAGTAGGGGGCTGAAGGATAAATAGGAATTAGCCAGAAGAGAGACAGATTTTCGGGAAGAGATTGCTAAGCACGAACAATATGAGCAAAGGCTTATGAAGAAAGTACCCTCTGCTCTGTTTGGCTGTCAGAGAGGAGGGCTGGAAGGGCAGACAGGACCCCACCCCCAGGGGGCTCCCTAGCCCTCTCAGAGAGTTGAGGCATATCCTGTGGGCACAGGGGAGTTGTGGAAGCAGTTCAGGACAGGAAGTGACATGGGCACATTTTCCTTCCTGGTTCTTGTTGCTGTGCGGTGGACTGAAAGCTGGAGGCAAACCCGTTTTTACAATCATTACTATGTTTGAGCCCATTGCTACAGCTACTGTGCTAAACTGTTGTGTGTGTGTGTGTGTGTGTGTGTGTGTGTGTGTGTACTTCTCTCTCCCCTCAGTGGAGGCTCAAAAATGTAGTTGGCTTTCTCAGAGATACACCTGATTCTGACACCTCCTCTCTGGGGCCGGAGTCGGTGTAAGCTGGGTTGTTGTTTGCCCTCACCGCTGGCCCCAGGGCTTAAGGAGATGGCCAGTATGATGTTGAGTGAAAGGGCCAGGCTTAGCCTAATGACTTTCCCCTAGGAAGTTTCTAATTCACCCATGAAACAGTGTAAAATGCAGTTGGTGTAAATTCCGGAGCCACTCAACCTGTGACGCTTAGACGGTTCACTGTATGTCTGGGACGGGAGGGCAGGCTGGCCATGACATCCGTCACCCGCTGGCTGGCTGGTGAGTGCCCCCTTCCGCCCTCACTGCTCCCTGAGCACCCCTTCCAAAGCTGCCTGCTCCGTTGCGGACGACCACCTTCCCCGAAGAAGAAGAGGAGCTGCCTTTGGTCAAGGGTATCCCAGCCAGCTGCGCTGGAGCCCCTGCAAGCATCTCCAAACAAGCTCTTAGCGGAGCATCCAAATCTAAGGACAGAGTTGATGGAAACAACCAGCATGCACTGCCCTTGAAGTTTCCTTCAAGGTGAAAAAGAGAAGAAAAGGCCCCGGGGATGGCTACACCCCTTTCCACTCTGTACGTTTTTTACCTTCTCTGGGCGCACATGGACTGAGCGTTAGCGGAATCTGGTAAAGAAAACCGTGTAGGGTGGCGTGGCTCCCGGATTCCTGGAACCCTGGTTCTCTTGGAGCAGCACGCTGCCATGGGCCCTGTTCTTGGCCCCAGCCTCTGGCACCAGCCTCCCTGTTCTTGGTTCAGCTCCTCCCTGGGGGTGGCACCGGGGGGCCTAGAGCAATTCTGAGAAGGATTGTCCCCCGGGAACCAACTAATGATTGGAAGGAAGCCCCCCAAGGATGTCGCCCAGGAAGCTTTCTAAAGCCAAGGTCAGGCATTCAGGACATCCTGAGAATTAAGAGGGTGCAGTGTTGGTAGGGGCTACGAGCTAAGTAACTGGGTTTCCCACTTAGAGGATAATGGTGAAAATTCGCTCTACAGAAAAATGCTGAAACCCTTTCTGGGAAGAGCCAAGGCTTGACCACCAGGCATTGCCCCTCCCACCTGCTGCGATCTTGGGCCTTCTTAGCTGCCCACTGGCCTCTGTTGAAGGGAGGGCTGTGTGCCATCCTGAGCCCAGGGCCGTGCCAGGCAGGCAGGGAAGGCTTCTGGGCCCTTGGGGGTCGTGGGGAGGCTTAACTTTCTCAAAAAGCCCCCCTACTCACTCCGGTGGCGTTTCCCGAGCCCCCGGCACACAGGACGCTCCTGGTACCCGTCCCTGTAAGTGCTTCTGCCCCTCCCTGGCCCATCTCCCGGAACCAGATGGAAGGTGGCGGGCTAGAAGAGAGTGTTTTGTTTTTCTCCTCTCCTTCCCTGAGAGCAGCCCTCTTGCTTCCTGTTTACCAGTGGCCCTGCCCCCGCGGGAATTGGCTGTGGGTTGATGAGAAGGTTGGGGGTGGTGGTGGTGGTGGTGCTTCAAGTAGACTCTGAGAGACGTCTGCTCTGCTCAGCTTCTGCCCTGGAAGGAAGAGGGGCAACGGAACTGGGGGTGGGGGGTTGAGGATGCCCCATTGTTAGAGTCACTTCACAGGCTTCCTAACTTTCACTGATGTTGCAGTCTTGAAGCTGGTGGTTCTGTCCCCTCCCGATGTCCTGTGCTGAGTGTCTGAGGCGGGACCAGGGCACTGCTTTTCTTGGCCGGCTGCAGAAACGTTCCTTGCCCCAGCCTCCCCTGCCGGCCCCCAGCGAGCTAAGCGATGACCATGCCCGGTGCCTCCTACTCTGGGTCCAGTGTGTGTGTCTCCTGAATAGGAATGTGCCCTCCCAGTCCCTGCACCCAGGATGAAGCTGCCATCAGCCCTCTCTTTTTTTCCCTCTCCCATCAACTGTCACCACACTCCGGTTTCGTTTCCTCTGCTGCTGGGAGTGGGGACAGGAGACCAGAGCCCTGACTGACCGTAGCCTCCCTCCCAGCCCCTGCCCCAGCCCTGCTCACAGGGCTTTACCCCGGAGGCCTGGGTTTTGCTTTGGGAAGAGTGGTTGTTTATGTAGGATGTGTCCTGCCCAGAGCGAGCCTCCTTCCAGGCCCAGGGCTCGGAGGTGCTTCTTCATGGGCCTGGTGTGAGGCCCAGGGACCTCTTTCAGGCTTTAGCGTCTGCCCCAGTTGTTGGACATCCCAGCCCCTCTGTTGTGCTGCTAATGACAACAGTCACGTAGCACTCTGTCTCCCTTCACTGCTCTCTGCCCCAGGACACCTACCTGTAGAAGGCTCTCTAACAAGCAAAAAGAGAAGCCGGGCCCCTGCCTGCCCCTTGCAGGAGCTGTGCCCAGCTCTGGCATGGTGAAGCTGTCCCCTCCATCCTTGCCACCCCCCTAGCCCGGGGAGGCCGCAGCCTTTGAGAGTCTCCTTGACAACAGGATGGATCGGTTAAAAATAACCTGTGTGCACGTGTGTGTGCACGCGCGCCCTCTCCTCCTCCTGTTCAAGCTGGGTCCCCGTGGCTTCTCCATCCTCCTGGAGAGCATCGGCTGTTGGAGGCCTCCAGAAGGCCCAGAGGCAGACTTCGAAGCCCCAAAGCATAGGGGGTGATCCAGACAGTCATGCAGAGCGTCCCCCAAATCCTTTGAAAAACAACCAACCGAGCCATCAGAAAAGAAACGTGTGTTTCTGGCGAAGGTTTTACGCAGCAGTGTAGGTTCCCGGACACGTTCGAATGGGAGGGTATGCAGCATGTTTCGTCGTCTTCGCCTTGCCTAGCTCCTTCCTTCCCTTGTGCTCCTCTGCCTGTCAAACTGGTGGTTGGCTTTTGGCTCCCCCTTGCTGGTTTTCTGTTGAAGGAGCACAGTGCTTATGGGTGGTGTTTGGGATTTTGTGAACCAGCCTGTTTGGAGCTAAAAGGAGACCTCCAGGGCGTGTCCTCTCAGGCTGGGGAAGTCCTCTGGGCTCAGCCTCCTCTTCTCCTCTCCCTGGTAGCTGCGATGGGCATGGTTGTGAAGTTAACACAGAATGCAAACCGATTTTCAGTGCCCCACCCTTGTAGGGTGTAAGCCTGGGGGCACCATCGCCATGGGCAGAGGTGAGGGCCTGGTGACACCCAAGCCCAGTCCCTGTTTGCTGTCTTGAGCTACAAAGAGCATGTAATTTCTCCTCAGGACCCACCTCCCCAACATCCCATGTGTGGCTAGATGGCTGCTCCCTCTGCACACACACAGGCCTGCTCCCCAGGAGACACAAGCCATCTGGCACATGTCGGGGCAGTGTTGGGATCGCCGTTAGTCCCATCTGTCCTGGTTACCTGACTGTGCCAGGGCCCTCAAGCCCCGTGGTCCTTCCCCTCAGGTTCCCATGACAAGTGTACATGTCTCAGTGTTTTAGCAGGCTTTTCTGACCGTCCCTCTTCTGTGTTTCCACCGTCTAGGAGTCAGAGTCTGAAGTAAAGGCTGAGGGAGAGACTGCATCAGACAGTGAGAGTCGAGCAGACCCCGCTCCCCCGCCGACCTCTGCGGATGATACCCCTGAGGTCCTCAACAGGGCCCTTTCCAACTTGTCTTCAAGGTAATCTGACCTAAGGATGCAGGTGCCCTTGGGGGCTTCGGATCATGTCCTAGGGCCACAGAAGACCCACTGCCCTCACAGAGCCACTTCCGTTGACCTGTGGTGGGGAAGCTGGCCTACTTCCTTCAGCCTCAGTCTGCCCTGCCTCTGCCTAGGACTCACTTTCTGCAGAAGAGTAGGGCAGAGTTGAGCGTGACCCAGTGCTCAGTATGAGACTGAGCTCCGTGGGTAGCCGGGAGAAGGACCACCCAGCCTGGAGGGTTCTGGCCCTTGAGGAGAGCTCCGGACCTGGGCTGATGAGTGCATTCCAGCAAGAAGGGACATTCTGGACCAGGACTGGGGTACACAGTCGTGGCAGATACAGAGTATGACAAGAGAGAGCATACTGGGGTTTGTAATCGCTGGGCTTCTTTTCCCAGAGGGACCCACAATTCTGGTTAATAATGGCTATACAGACCCATCTATCCATTGTGAACATTTCCTCAAAAATTCTGCAGGAAGACATTTGTGTTAGTCTGGGTGGATTGGGAAACATATTCAGACACACTCATATGTGTCTAAGAAAGAACTTTATATACAAGAGCAATTGAATATTGAGAAAAGATTCCAACCCTGTCTAGATCAAGTCCATCAGTCCGATATTAGCCCTTGTGTCTGATGCTAGTCTATAAATTCCTCTTCAGACTCACAAAACACATGCAATGACGCCGAATGCAGGAAGGTCACAGGCCAGTGGGTGGGAAGTCTTGTGGATCCAGTAGCAGTGTAAGCACCCCAGCACTGGCAGGGGTCTCCACCTGGCTCCTTCAGTTCCAGGGCTCTAGCGTAGCTCTATGTGTCTTGTCATCAGGAATATGAAGCAGAGAGTGTGTGTCAGCCCTCCTGAGGTCATCAGCTGCAGTCTGATCTGATTGACGGGCTAGACCCCACCCCTTCGCAATTTGACAGGAGATTGTCATGACCACAACCTTGAAAAGGATCTCAGCTTGTGTGAATCGAGGGTGAACGCTTTTGGCCCGCGGGAACCTCATTCTTCAAACATCAGTTATGTGGGTAGATTAAAAACGTGAATGATAAGGATCTCCTCCCCAAACAAAACAAACCGATTACCTGGAAGTGAGCGTTAGTATGTGCGCTGGCTGCTCATCCCTTGAGAAGGCTGTACTGTGCAGGGCTTAAAGGCATGGGTTCTGGAGCCTAGCCCCCGGGAAACAAACCCTGTTTCGCCTTTTGCCAGCCATCTGACCTACCTGCCTCAATTTCCTCATCTGTAAAAACTAGTTATTCTCAAGGTTGGGTGAGTTGACAAATGTGACGTCCTACTAGAAGTGCTGGACACATATTTGTGCTATTTTATCATTGTTTATGGTCATTAGCAGCGCGGGATAATTGCAATGCAGGATCCTGCTGTGGGGAAAATGTGCACGGTTTTTCCTCAGAGGTAGTCACAGAGTCCTTTAAATAGATACAGGAGCAGGGGCACCCACTTTCCTTGCCTGTGTTACCCAATTACTTCCTTAAGATGTAAACTGGGCACATCCTTCTTCAGGCCTTGGGGCACCTGCTGAGTTTGGCTGTAGGTGAGGCCATGGCACTAGTGGCGGCAGGTGGCTAGCCCCTCCAGCAAGGCAAAGAACACGTTGCTGGAGGGGCTTGATCCCAGGAAGTGGCACTCTCACCCCCACCCCAGGGTTTGGGCTCTGGTTCTTTCCAGGCGCCTAACTGCTGTGTTCTCTTTCCCCTACTCTCGTTTTAACCTAGATGGAAGAACTGGTGGGTGAGAGGCATCCTGACCTTGGCCATGATTGCGTTTTTCTTCATCATCATTTACCTGGGACCGATGGTTTTAATGATGATCGTAAGTGCAGCCTCCTTTAGTTTCGCGTTCACTGTCTGTCTTTTTTTTTTTCCTGCGGGGCTGGGCTTCTTAGAGACTAGGTGTTGGGGAGTCTAGGATTCCTGGGACATTTCTGCCTTCGAACGCATGAGGCTTCTCACCTCCCAGCAGCCCATGGGCGGACGTGGACACAGACCCAGTATTCGTCATTGAAGATGTCCCCCGCTTGTGCTTGTATTATTCCAGCTGATTAAAGGGTGACCCTCATGTCACGAACGGCACTGTGTCCTCTCAAGTTAGCTTGTGTATGTGTTTCCTCACTTCTATGCCTCTGGCTGTCACGTGAACGTCGACTATTGAATCAGGAAGGCCAGAGACGAATTGATGGCTTTGAATTATGTTCCTCATAATTATTCATAATTCTTCCATATGAAGAATATTGCAAGTACCATGGACTGCCAAAAGAACAAACAAATCTGTCTTGGAAGAAGTACAGCAAGAATGCTTATTAGTGGCCAGGCTGATGAGATTTCTTCTTACGCACGTACTTTGGGGATGTTGTGAGGAGAGACCGGTCCCTGGAGACGGACATCAAACTTGGTAAAGTAGAGGGGCAGCCAAAGAGAGGGAGGCGCTCAACAAGTGGCTGCAACAGTGGGCTCAGCACAAGAACAGTTGTGTGGATGGTTCCGGACCGGGGTGCTTTGTACTGTTGTACACAGGGGCCCTAGCAACCAGAACATGCCGGTGGCTGTAATCCCATTCTGGCGGGGAGGGGGGCTACTTAAATGAATGAGGGCAGATTAGTGTACAAACGAGATTAAGTCCCTTCAAATGCAAGTGGGATTAAACAAGCTACCCAAGCTGGCACAGAGAAGAGAGGTGCCAAGCCACATGAAGGCCGCCCCAGCCAACCGAAAGAAAGCAAGCCTTCCTGTAGAGCCCGTGCTTTGAAATCAGACTTTGAGCCTCCGAAACTGAACGAGAATATACTTTCATTTGTTAAAACCACTCCTTTTTAGTAGCACTGGATAACGAAGGCACCTGCGCATGTCTTTAAACGACTCTTGGTTTTACTCTGTTCTGGGGCCTCACCCGTGGGCTGGGGGTTTCCTTAAGAAATGCCGGTCTGTAGTGCTTCTCCCTCTCCGACAGGGGCAAGTGATTGACAGCTGAGTGCTGAGCAGCCCAGCCGAGGTTTTCCCTAGAAATTCACATTCACAGTCAGGAGGGGAAAGGGTCTGGTTGAATTCTAGACTAAAAAGTTAATTTGAATCACAGGGCATGCATTTATTGCAAGAAACTGGCTGCAGTCACATGAAGGGCTGCATTGCCTTGTGGGATGGTGTGAGACAGGGAGGCGGAGGAGGGGAGCAGAATCATCGGCCCGGCGGTTTTCTTTGTGGTTTTTGTTGAAGCACACTGTCGTATCAAATACCACACCTGGGGGGCTCTCAAGAACAGTGATCTTTTCTCATCGTTCTTGAGGGTATGTGCCCACAGCAGGGCTGTGTTGATTTCTTCTGAGCAGTTTGAGAGAGCAATGGTTCTGTGCCTCTCCTAGTTTGGATAACTGCTAGCAATCCTTGGTGTTCCTTTGAATCTACCAGCGCTGTCACAGGGCCTCTTCATGTCTGTCCTGTCCCCCCCCCCCCCTTTTAAGACGCCACCCAGAAGGGCCTAGAACTCAGCCTGCTCCAGTAGACTTACTGATGATGTCATCAAAGAAAGGCCCGACGTTCCCAACCAAGGTCATATATACAGATACTCGGGCTTGACCGATAGCATGTGTTTTGGCGACATAATTGAAAACATAACCTGTTGGTTTTACACCCAAGGTCAGAAGGATTGGGGAATCAGCCAGTGACCTGGTTTTCCTGTGTCCTGCAGGTGATGTGTGTGCAAATTAAGTGTTTCCAGGAGATAATCACCATTGGCTACAATGTCTACCACTCCTACGACCTGCCCTGGTTCAGGACCCTCAGCTGGTAAGCCCTCTCACCTCCGCAGGGATCCATAGCAGGTGGCCCAAGTGCCTTGGGGGTGATGTTGACCGTGGTGGGAGGAAGGAGGCCACTGGGGTGATGGCTGCGTACTCGCGCAGCCCCTTTGAGCCTGGAGTATTCCGTAGGTGAGACTGTGTGGCGTGGCTGGGCTTTGAGGCATCTTTGGTGGTCGCGCACCAGGCGTCTGGAATCTTTCCAGAAGAAACTAGACCAGCTGTACCCGTGGCCACATTCGCCCTGGTCTTTGGGCTCCTCAGATGTGGCACAAGGACCCCCCTTTTCTGGGTTAATCTATGTCCCCGGTAGTAGCATCCAGTGTTGGTTGCCCCCTTTCCCAGGAAAGGGCTCTGTGGACATGAGAGTCTCGACCGCCACACTTTGCCCAGGTTTCCGATGAGCAGCCCCGGCTGTGCGGTGGCTAAGGTTTATGGTTTGAACCTACCCAGCTGCTCTCACAGGAGAGGAGAGGAGACCTGGCAGTCTACTTCTGTAAGGAACCCCGCGGGGTGGTTCTGCTTTGCCATACAGGGTCGCTGTGAGTAAGAATCTGCTGGACTGCACTCGGCCACAGATAGATGATGTCTGACCAGAGACAGATGCAAATGCCGGCTCCTCACTCCACCATGTGAGCACAGGCTTTGATTTTGACCACAAAAGCTGGGGTCGAGAGTCATGCTTTGGCGGAGGGACCTGGATGAGTTCAGACTCCTAGAGACGTCTTCCCACCATGCAGCAGGGCAGCCTGCCTCCTGGTGAACCCGGTGAAGATGGTAGCCGACTCTGTGGCTGGAAAGCAGTGTGTTGAATTTCCAGAATATCTTAGGAGGTCCGACTTCTGAACTGTGGTCATTTAACTGAAGGAAGTTTTTTGCTTTTGTGTATACCCCCACCCACCCACGTAAGAGAAATTCTTCCCAAAAAGGGAGTCAAAGGGAATTCTACTCTCTTCCCTAGCTCAGGATCCTATCCAGAGTTCCTGGTGGTGGCCACATGGTTGTGCCATGAGGAGAGGGAGGAGCCGGGGCTTCTTCCCAGGAGCTTCCAGTGAGGAGATAGGCTCTTGAAGGTGTGCTGTCAGGGCCAGGTTTCAGAGAGGGAGCCGAGAGGAAGGGCCTTGATTCATTGCCTAGGAAATAAGTAACTGCTGTTTACTTTAGAAGTGCAGGGGCGGCAGATGTGTTCGGCCATGTGAGATTTGACAAAGCGGACTGAGCAGTGAGTGAAAAATGAGTGCAGTAGGGAAGTTTTGCCAGGCAGGAAAGCTGCAGGAGACAGGCAGAGGACACCTTTTTGATTCGAGTGGAGGCTTCTTCCGCTGGGGAGAATGGAAATCGGTTGGGGAGGAAATACAGAGTGCGCTTCAGAGCGTCTTGGGGTTTGATGGCTGAGCCCTGGTGGCACGGTGGGGCAAGCGGTGGACTGCTCACTGGGAGGTTGATGGCTCACTCACCAGAAGCTCTGCGGAAGAAAGAGGAGGCCACCTGCTCCCGTAAAGACCCTGTACAGGGCTGCTGTGAGTCGGATGCCTGGTGTGCGTTTTCCCTGGTTTGTGGAAACTTCAAGAGGGGGCAGTTACAAGTTTGTGATCAAGGGAGAGAGTGCAAGCCTCCGCGAGAGTCTGGATGAGCCTCCCACCGGCACTGTGAGCCGGGACCAGGGGGCTTGTGCGTGCTTGTGACTCCCCTGGGCCTCAAGGCAGTGCAGGACTGCTCCTCTCCAGCGCCCCCTCCACGTGACCTCACTGCCTGGGTTTGGGAAGCTGCCAGGGGTCCCCTGCGATGCGCTCACCTGTCTCTCTTTGCAGGTACTTCCTCCTGTGTGTAAACTATTTCTTCTACGGCGAAACCGTGACAGATTACTTCTTCACCCTGGTCCAGAGAGAGGAGCCTCTGCGGATTCTCAGCAAATACCACCGGTTCATTTCCTTTACTCTCTACCTGACAGGTATGCATGCGGTGGTTTGCCAGGTCGTGTGTGTGTGTGTGTGTGTGTGTGTGTGTGTGTGTGTGTGTGTGTTGCGTGACAGTTTCTGGGCTAATGTAGAGTTTTGATGGCATCATCTTGGACTACACCAGGGCTCAAACTGACAGCATAGTCAGATGCTGTACAGTGGCAGGTCTTTAACGAGAAACTGAGAGGCTGTCAGGTTTGGGGGCAGCTCGTTTGTACTGCCTGGCCTGTGTTCCAACCTCCCAATCACCTACTTTAGAGCCATGTTGTAGGAGAGACATGATAGCATGGGGGGAATTTCACTGGGTTTACATTTAAAAGGACTCTGTGACCTTTGGGGAACCAGGAACTTCATCCCTGAGACAGCTCTCATAATTTAGAGGTAAAACTCAGGGTTATTGTGAGGATTAAGTCAGGTGTGAATTTGATAGATATTAAGTGCATGTTAATAAAAGCTCAAGTAAAACTGTACTAAACCAAACCAAATTGACTACGGTTTGAGTTGATGCTGACTCATAGCAACCCTATAGGACCGGCTAGAACTGCCTGTGGGTTCTGAGACTGTAACTCTTTATGGGAGTAGAAAGCTTCATTTTTATCCTGAGGTAGTTTTGAACTGGTGACCTTACTGTTCGAAGCCCAACACGTAACCATTATGCCATCAGGGCTCCCGGCAGTTATGCTAATAATGCAAATTCTCCTGAGAGTTTATGGGGCTAGTTTTAGTCTGATCTTGTTTCTGATTCGCATGACAGCAATGGAAGGTTCTGTGAAGGACACCTGTGCTTTAACATGTAGCGTCCACTGCCAGAGGGCCTGTGCTCACCTGGCCCAGGATACTTGGAATGGCTGCCTCAGGCCCTGAACGCAGCCCCGAGGGCAGCACAGAGAGGTCAGGCTTGCTGGGATACAGGAGAGGCTGCTGGCCAGAACCGTCTTCAAGGCCCACACGTGGGTGGGAATCCCTTCTGGCTGCTACAGAAGGGGGGCTGCAGACATTTTTGCTGCCATCTGGGTCAGAGTGAGAAGGATGCCTGGCTGGCCTAGACTTCGTTTCATGTGGACCCCATCCCTCATTCTTAAGGGAACACCCCCCCCCCCAACCATACCCATTGTTATGACATCAGTTCTGACTCCTAGTGACCCTGTAGGACCGAGTCCATCTGCTGCACAGCGTCTCCCAGACTAGTCTATACAGAAGCGGACTGCTGCCTCTGTCTCCCACAGGAGATACAGGAGTGGCTGGTGGGTTTGAACTGTGACCTTTCCATTAGCACAGTGGTTCTCAACCTGTGGGTTGTGACCCCTTTGGAAGGTGGAAGGACCCTTTCACAGGGATCTGCCAATTCGTAACAGTAGCAAAATGACAGTGATGAAGTAGCAACGAAGATAATGTTATGGTTGGGGATCACCACCACGTGAGGCACTGTATGAAAGGGTCACGGCATCAGGAAGGTGGAGAACCCCTGCATTAGCAGCACAGGGGAGCACCGAACCACTGCACTTCCTGGCTTCCATTTTTTTTTAAATGTTTGAACCAATTTTTTATTTTTTTTATTTTTTTTTAAACATTTTATTAGGGGCTCATACAACTGTTATCCCAATCCATACACACATCAATTGTGTAA